TATCTTCTGCATACGCATTTTATCTACAACCCTCGGAGAATATTTTATTGGCATTTATGTGTACGTCCGCTTCTTCAGACATAATCTATATACTAAATGTTACATCGCCTAATTCTGTACAATTAATTTCGGACACGCTTTTACACATTGTCGCTTGAAAAGGACCACAATCCGTACGGTCGAAAAGTAGCGAGTTGTAATTTCTAATAATAAATTCAGGTCAGTTGGGTCGAAAATTGTCCGCTCAATAATTTATTCATTGCAACAAGTTCGATTTAATGAGCTACGATTGCGAAGATCACTATTGCTACCATATACATAGTAAATGAACAAGATTCCTCGCGTCAACATCTATTAGGCTTTATGAGATAGGAAACAGACGGTGCGTCCACGAGATCGGTCGTCTGAAAGCTGCAAGAAATTTGCATACCTTAATATCTCATCGGAGATATCATCGCCGAGCAGCCTTTGGCTGAAGCATTTTTGCGAGACGATTGAAAGATAACCACGCGCGCGTCTAAGAGCTTAGAAAATCTGCTTGGTCGAGCGGAAAAATTAGTCCTCACTCAGGCGGATGAAATCTAAATGATAATGGTGCATCGGTCGCGCAGATAACCGCGTATAATAATCTAGGTGAATAAGACTTTAACGCCGCGGTCTTTTTTCTTTTCTTGATGCTCCGTAAAAAAATGCCTTTCTATTTAAATAGACTGCCGATAAAAGCGAAGATACCTGAATGGTAATCTTGCTAGGTGAATAAGACTCTAAAGCTATAGTTTCTTCTCTTGATTCTCTGCAAAACGTTCTTTTGTATTTAAACGCAATGCCGATAAAAGCGAATGTCTGAACAATTATAAAACTTGTACGGAACTTTAACTAGCATTAAATTTGTGTAATAAAATCTTTTTGCCGAATGAAGACACATGCAGAGAACGGAGAGTACTAGTCTGAAGTAAAAATTTTATAATTTTGAAATCCAATACAAAGAGTCAAAATTGCAAAAAATGCAATCGATTTATCTGGAACTCGAAAGTTTTCCAGGTTGCTGATTGACCCAACAAATCTTTAATCGGCTGAAAGGAAAAATGTATACCTACTTCAAAGGGTTAACAAACTTGTCGCTTTTCATGCAGAAAAGTGTCGTTCTCGGATTACCAGGCGATAGTGCACAATTCGACGTGGCAGCTCTTTTTCTTCGCCCCTTCTCCATCACGTTTCCTGCGGATAAGTCTCTAACCGTCGCGACGAGGCCCCGGAGATTCGATTGGGTCCGTGCCGGTACGCCGGCCGTGTGGATTGGCGAGAACCGGATCGGCTAGATCGCCTCGGGCGACGTAGAGGACGATCGGCCGATCCGGATCGGCTCGTACCGTGGTAGAGTATCGGACCATCGCGTTCGCGCTCTCGGCACGGTCAGCTCTGGTCGCCGCGGTCTCTCGCAAGGACCGACGAACGGAATAATCTCGGCGGTCGCACGAAACGCGAGGACGAGCCTGTTCACTTGCGAGCGCCTTGCGTCTTCACGCGATTGCACGGTGCATTGCGTTGCATCGCGGGACTAAAGTTCCACGGCCCGATCTGCTCGACAAGGCGCACGCGAGAGTCTGCCATTTCGCCATTTGAACATTCGTTCTTACGTTTAGGTACGTTGGACGCAATAGCGTTCAACGGAAAGACTTTGCAATGCTGAACTCGAATTGAGTAAATCTTCTCTCTGGGTTACATTAGAGCCATATTTTTTTTTAAATCTAATTGCGTGCGTACTAGCGAGCTTTCTCCAATTATAGAAATATAATTGTCAACCTTAATCATTAATTTACATTTTGAAATTGGATTTCAAATACAGAGTGTACTAAAAACCACCGGATATCTTAATCACAATTTCTTTAGAAAATTTCCAGACGAAAATTCTAATACACAAATGTCGAGGGTATAATAGTTTTTATGTAAGTAAATTTTGTACTTGCAGTTCGACTTCTTTTACTGTCTTAGGTCCTGCTATATAATAGAATTAAAGGTTCAACGTTTCGACTCGGGATATGTATAACATATGTATATCTTAGTGCATACATCTTTCCCCAACGAAAATCTCTTTCTTGTATCAGAATAACGATTTAAAACAGACAACAATCCCAACGTTTTGCATTCAGCCTTAAACACACTTTATGCCTTAAAGTGTTTTCCCCGTCAAGGCTGCAGACTAAAAACCTGGGGTCTCTGTACATAATCGATTAACCGACGAAGTTCTCCCTACGTGGCTTAAAAAGTCGTCGCGTTAACATCGGTAGCGCAGCAGCAAATCGTTCCGAACGAGATGCGGTTTGCGGATACTTGTTACAGGAGTCGATCAAGAGACGCGACGATCGAGTCTCGCGATACTCGAGTACATGAATCAACTGGCTATGCTCGTTGTACGGTGAAACGTCAAGCTCTTCTTTCTTCATTTGGAAATCTTACGTCAAACGTGCTTTGGATTGAGACATCGTGGAAACCCTGACAGCGTCGTAAAAAATCTAACGGCACTAGGTTCATCTACTTGTTCATCCCGATTATTTTGTCACGTTCAATTTTTTCCGTGACGATCCTTCCGATTTTTCGCTTCTATATTCCCATCGATGTGTTTGCTCTTCATGCACTCGCCGTGCGTATAGCGAATAGCCCGGATTTTACAGTTATCTCCTTAAAAAGTATACGCTCTGGAATCGAACGGTTCGTTGACTCTTCCGAGGTGTTAAATTGATCGGTTATGTACGACAGGTTACAACGAGGTGAGTAAAATAGTCGGTGTTCATGCTCGGATTCCTCCTCGCATAGCTTATGTATACTCGTATTGATATCAAACCGCATTACACACGGCTTTTTGTCAATGCAGCTTTATGCTCGGATGTTTTCGATATCTGAAGACCCAGTTTTGTTTCAGCAACAATTATCAAAGAAGGCGACGCGAAGTGCGGATAGAATGTTTTTCATTTAGCAACTTTCGCCCGCCGCAAATTCGCCGCGTGACACATTTCGTACGGCAAACCCGAAAGATGTATCCTGAATCGTGCGCTTTAAATTCTTTCTCTTCCTCCTTCGAAATTTTATCGGGGGGTCAATTTAATTATTTTTCTGCAATTTCCCATTGTATGTGTAACCGATAGGAGGTCAATAAGTGCATTTATAATTTACTTTAGCTCCTACTTGAAAGGACCTGCTTTAATGCTAAATTGGGAAAAGTAGAAATTTCCGACACTATACCAGTTTTAAAGTAGGAGTAAATTTTGTACTTGCAATTCGACCTCTTTTACTGTCTCAGGTCCTACTTATATGTAATAGAATTAAAGGTTCAACGCAGGGCCAAAATTTCGACTCGGGTATTTACAATAATTTACAATATAATAATGCTTTATTCATTGATTCGGCCTTTTGGCCTAGATTGACTTTACTTGCCGAGCAGAGCATGTGCTAAAAGCGAAACAATATAGAGAATGTACACAATATATCTTAATTATTATGGAATATTAAATTATTCCCGTTTGTACGAAAATGAAAGGATTCGCCGGGATAATGCAGAGATTGTTTTCTCCAGACAGCCTAGAATTATTGCGATCGTAGTAATTAAAGAAAGCAGCTTTTCATCAAGGAGAAGTAGATAATTATCTGTTCTTCTTCGACTTGTAAATTGTATTATCTATCATTTAATATAAAGAAAACGTCATACTTAGAATTGTATGAGGATGTGCCGCATAAGCAGACAGATGTGCAACGAGGTTCGCGATGAACTCTAGATAAAGATCGCGTTCTTCCGTTCTTCCGAGCATGACAGCGGACGTCGCATTCCTGCATATTAGACTCCCCTTGTTCCTCAAAGTTTAGATGTCAAGGGCGCGCGCACGAAAGAAGACGATTTGTACCATACTTTCTTCGACGTTTACTTCGATAGGTAGGCATTACTCTGCGTGTGTATAAAATTACTTTCTAACGTACTAATTGTAACAAGAGCCAGAAGAGGACGATTAATTATCCCGCTCGACTTAAACCGGTCTGACTGAGAATCAACGGCGGTACCTCCTACGTATTGTAATCGGAGAAATTTTTCTTGCGCTTGTTCGCAAAACGAGTCCTCGGTACGCGCGATTCCGTTGCTCGCGATCGACTTTCTCAGGATCGCGCCGAAGCCGAGCGTGAAAGAAAGAGGCCCCCGCGAGGAGCTCTCGAGAAGAGCGCGATGGATCGGCGGCTTCGCGGTCGATCGAATTGAGGCGCGATGCGAGCATGCATGTAATGCGCGTGAGGTCGACGGATCCTATGTACGAGAGACCGGTACCCCTCTGGACGCACCACGCTGCGAGGAGGGCACAACCGGAAGCAGTTCGTTTCCCACGTTTTGCACTGGCGAAGAAAGGTCGCTTCTCGCGAGGGGGGAAAACGCGTGCGCCTCGAAAACCGCCGTCCAATTATGATACTTCGCCGTAGCGAGCGGGCGATTAAACTCGCCGGGGCGAAATAAGGCGTAAGAACGTGACTCCCGTCCTCACGTCCTTATACACGCCGACTCGTCCTTACCCGCGCGACCTGTCTTCCAGGTCGAGTTAAAGGCTGCGCGAGGGACAAGAAGAAGTCCACGCGAGATTCATTCCAGTCGCGATGTCGTCCGGCCGTGATTACTATCATCCTTCGCCTCTCTTGATTCCGATATTTTGCCGGGCTCGCGGCCAGTTACCGCGAAGTAATCGCTTGAAAGAAAGAAATAAGTTACCCTTTTTCTCATTCGTTTCTAATGAAATGGAAGAGTTATTTTTGTTATTTCAACGAAATGAATTATTTTAACGTTAACTATAGAGAAAAGTCCTGTGATATGAGATGTAGCAGGTTTTCAATCACAAATCATTCACTTTGATTTCACTTCAAAGGCAATAAATTCATGGTGGAACCAACCAAGATGATGCCTATTAATTTAACTGATTTAGCAGAAACTCCGCTATCTCATGTTAGGAGCCTATCTCATAATAGGGGGCTTCCCTCTACACATATCATCGATTTTAATTGTAACGACGCGGATTTCAAGGCAATCTGTCCCCGACAAAAGATTCGACATCGATATAATTGTCCTCAGGTGGATCCCGGCGCATCGGTGTATCAAATCCGCGAGGGATCCGCGAAGGCAAGTGATTATGGGACATGCGTCAGGAAGAGGACAGCACAGACCGCAGGATCGCACTGATTAAGTGCGCGTCGCCATGGCGAGGTGGAGATGGATACTGCTGATCCTGACGACCGTCTGGACGCTGGGCGATGGCTACCTGGCGGTGCTGCCGTCCAGCACGCCTGTCGGCACCGTCGTCTTCGAGGCCGGGGTGCCGCAGCTGGGCGGCCGTCGCAAGTACGAGGCGTCCAGCGAGCGCACCGCTTGGTTCGCTCGAAAGCTCCTCAAGGTCCATCCACACTCCGGCCGCGTGACCCTGGCGAGGACACTCAGCTGCGACGGTCTCCAGTATCCGCGTGTTTTCACCTTCTACGTCGACTCGACGAGCTCCCGCCTCGGTAGACCCACCATCGACTACTACAGCTTGCCACTGAGGATCCTGATCACCGGATGCGGCGGGGAAAATCGCGACCTGGCGGCCACCAGGGGCTGGATGGCGGAGACTCTGGCCTCTTACGCGATGCCCAGCACCGACAGGTTGGAACCGGCTGTTCAGATTTAAAGATATTAACGAATGCGCAATAAACGCCGACTGAATTAGTGACTCGTAATATCGGTTTCTAATTTATTTATTTTAATTCTACGAGATACAAACGTGTGAAAAGCAAAAAGGCCAATCTTTCGGGAAAGGCAGAATATGGGAGTAGGATGGTATATTATTGTAACATAGGAATACATTAACTAACTTCGATTGTCATAGAATATTTAGCTGCACAAAATAAATTTGTATCAATTTATCATAATTTAAAATTTTAGATTTCAGTATTTAATGGGAAGTTTAATTCTCTAAATGATAGAAAAAATGATCTATGTAACTGCTGACTCTACTAAATGTAACCATTTATTTTTACCGTTGAATTCGATTTGGATTTCAGAACAATTTTATTGCTTGAAGAGTATACGCGAGAAAATAAAAATTTCTTCTCAATCTGCATTAATATGCATAATCAATCTAGCGAGAAATGACTTGTCAATCGACGAGTTATTTCTGACTGGGAAGAGAAAAAGAATGCTTATCATTCAGCTTTGCAAAGGATTAATTTTAATATTTTATGGAAAATTTAATTGCATTGATACAGGTTTACCGAGGTATGCCTGCGGACGTCTCAACTAGTGGCAGCTCTCCGCGACTTTCTGCCTCAGACTACATTGAAGGAATGCGAGACAAGATGGGGTGGAGTCGCGGACCCCAGGTTCCTCGTGGAAGGTGCCGCCGGGGACCTGGTTTCCGCCTCCGAGCAGTGCCTGGTCGATCCGCTGTGGAAGGTCTCAGTCAGCATGAACTTGCGCTGCGACGTCGATTCGCGTCTGACGGACGCCGAGCATCGGCTGAAGATCGTGTTCCATCACCGTCAGCTGGACGACACAGATCTGGGCAGGAGGGTGAGACGAGAGCTCAAGAATCAATCGCCGTATTTTGAGCAGCCGCTCTATGTCGCCGCGGTGGAGGAGGAAAGAGAGCCAGGGGTGTATGTGACTTCGGTGAGAGCCAGAGATCCCGAGAACGGCGCCGTAAGGTACTCCATGAGCTCGCTGATAGACGCGAGATCGCAGGCATTATTGGCTCTCGATCCAGTGACCGGAAGAGTGACAACCCGTTCCCGATTGGACAGGGAGAACGTCGACGTGCACTACTTTCGGGTGCGTATCGAGTTTCCGAAAGGAAAGTGAAATAAAAATTCAAAAAGAAGAAATACCTTGTTCCAACGATGAGAATAAATTTAATAAGAAACGTTATTCAAGAGGCGTGCGTCTCCTCCCTTTCTACAAAAATTAACGCCATAATATCTACGGTGAAAATGAAAAATGTAGGGGTTTCCAGTTTCAAAGTAGCAATTTAATTGCAAATACGAATCGTTTGCCGAACAGGTGTTGGCGGTGGACGACTCGTTTCCTCCGCGCACCGGAACAACGACTCTCCAAGTTAACGTGTTGGATGCGAACGATCACACGCCCAGCTTCGAGGGGCCGGAGTACGATGCGTCGGTGCGCGAAGGTGTTCCCGTAGGTTCCACGGTAATTACAGTCAAGGCTACGGATCAGGACACTGGAAGAAACGCCGAAGTGGAATACTCTATCGTCTCCATCATGGCGGGCGGTAGCACCACGCATACGGAGGACGCGGCGACCTTCAGAATCGATCCCAGGTTAGTGTTACAGAATATATTCATATTGAATATTTCAGGAATAAAGTCAATTTTTTTTTACCCGAAACAGAAAGAGACGTCTTAAGAAAATATTCTCTTCCCAAAGTTCTTATTTGCATATTCACGTTTTTAATCTTTTTCTACCACTCAATGAATCTTACAATACCGTCCTCCATATTTTAATACTATCGGTAACACGTACGATTAAATTGTACAGATTGAATGTAGAGGAAAGTATTTCCTTCCTCGACTTTGTTCTTCTCGTTTGTGGGATCTTACGATAAAGATTCCTCGAGAGATCAATTGAATATAACTTCGCGCGATCTTTATATTTACAAGACATACATCTTTGTGTATCACAGATCCGGGGTGGTTACCACGCGAACTACGCTCGACCGCGAGCAAACCGAGATTTACACGGTGGTGCTCAGCGTTACGGATCAAGCGACGCCACCCTCGGTGCGGCGTAGTGCAAACGCGACCCTGGTGGTACGTGTACTGGACGACAACGACAATTACCCGCAGTTCACCGAGCGTACGTACTCGGCGGCCGTGCCGGAGGACCTGGACTACACGACTAACCCGGTGATAGCCCGTATCAGGGCGGCGGACGCGGATGCCGGTGCCAACGCAGCTGTCCGCTACGCTATCATCGGCGGCAACACGCAGAACACCTTCTCGATCGACTCGATGAGCGGCGACGTCGCCCTGGTGAAGCCGCTCGACTACGAGTCCACCAGGAGCTACAAGATCGTCATACGCGCCCAGGACGGCGGCTCGCCCGCGCGTTCAAACACCACCCAGCTGCTCGTGATGGTCAGGGATGTGAACGACAACGCGCCGAGATTCTACACCAGCCACTTTCAGGAATCGGTGCTGGAAAACGTACCGCTCGGATATTCGGTCCTGAGGGTGCAAGCGTACGATTCCGATGAGGGTAACAACTCGCACATCCAGTACACCATTGGCGCGCGCGACTTCACCGGCGCCTCTACGGAGAACTTCCCCATCACCGTCAACGCGGAGACTGGTTGGATCTATACGACGAAGCAGCTAGATCGCGAGCAGTGCTCGAAGTATTAATCTCTCTTATTGATTATTAAATCAGCAAAATATTGAAATGATTAAAGTGCAAACGATTTTTGATAAAAGTTTGTGGTGTTGTTAGAAACGTATTATATAGTGTTATAAAATAATTCGTTCGCATTTTATACTAAATTTTTTTTACTATTGTATAATTTTATTAATAATATTACTTTAGATTTTTTTTTAGCAAGTTCTTTTACGAGAAATTCTCATGTTGATTTCAGGTACCAGTTCACCATAATCGCGGCGGATTCTGGCGAGGAACCGAAATCCGCGAGCGCGACGGTGATTCTCACGGTGACCGACGTGAACGACAACGATCCTCACTTCGAGCCAAGGAATTACGAGACTGTGGTGTCCGAGGACGATCCGCCGGGCACCCCGGTCGCCTCGGTGACCGCCACCGATCCGGATGAGGACGCCAGGATCCATTACGAGATCACGGGCGGCAACACGCGCGGTCGCTTCTCCATCGCGTCGCAGAATGGCCGTGGCCTCATCACCGTCGCCCAGCCACTCGATTACAAGCAGGAGAAGCGGTTTGTGCTGACAGTGACGGCGTCAGATAGCGGCGGCCGCACCGACACCGCCCTGGTCTATGTCAACGTGTCGGACGCCAACAACTTCTCGCCGGTATTCGAGAACGCGCCGTACTCGGTCTCGGTGTTCGAGGATGCGCCGATCGGCGTGACCGTCCTGGTGGTGAGCGCCACCGATTCCGACGTCGGCAAGAACGCCCAGATCACGTACAGTCTGGCGACAGAAAACGGCGAGCACACCGTCACCGAGTTCACCATCAATCCACAGACTGGCGCGATCACCACGACGAAGGCGCTCGATCGCGAGCTCGTGCCCTCATACCTGTTGACGGTGATCGCCCGGGATGGCGGAGTGCCGTCAATGTCTGACACTACCGATGTAGAAATCTCCGTTACGGATGTAAATGACAACGCACCGGTCTTCGAGGCGCCGCAGTACCAGGGTTCGATTCCCGAGGACGTTTTGGTGGGCACCAGCGTGCTGAGAGTCGCTGCGATTGACGCAGACACCGATCTCAATGGCCGAGTAAGTATCCCTGTCTTTAAAATGTTAGCATCGGAGTCGGTAAAACATATGCTGTCAACAGATTGTCGGTAGAAACCGAGCAGGTCCAGTTATGTGAGCAGATTTTGTTGTATTTCTGCTGACATGCTGGCAACATGTCGAATATATCAGTTCCTGTATGCAATCTGCGGTCTTTCTGCCTTGAAAATTTGTAGTTCTAACAGATTTGGCTATCTGGGTATAGCTCTCTCTGATAAAAGACGTTGTATAACATTATTTGATAAATGAGAAATACATCACGGCTTATATAGATACGAATTTTAATAATATTTTTAATAGAAATCTTGAATTTGAGATTTAATTAATAAATTATAGAAAACTGTGAACCAATTGCTTTCATAAATCTTTTTCAAGTAAACCGATTATAAATATTGAATAATTCTAATTAATGTAAAAATTAAAATAAATATTATAAATTGCATTTCTATAAAGAAATAATATATAATAAGTAAGAAGACTGCAAACTTTTAATATTCTTCGCACGACTTGCTAATAAATTCAATATGACTGATCTAGGTAAGGTACGCTTTAGAAGACGACGGCGATGGTGCGTTCGCGATTGACTCTACGACAGGCATCATCAGGACCGCGAAACCGCTGGACCGAGAATCGGTAGCACATTACATCTTGAGGGCTATCGCCATAGACCGCGGCTCGCCCGCACTCTCGTCCGTCGTTCCCGTCACGGTCAAGATTGAGGACATAAACGATTCACCGCCCGCCTTCGAGAACGATAAGATTGTTCTCTACATCGCCGAGAACTCGCCGATCGGTTCGACCGTCGGCGATATCTACGCTCACGATCCGGATGAAGGCCTCAACGCGGTAGTGCAGTACAGTATCATCGGCGGCGAAGACTCCAACAGCTTCAGCCTGAATATCCGTCAAGGCGCCGACCGGGCCGAATTAATCACCCTCGAGGAACTCGACTACGAGTCGCCGAAGAAGAAGTTTGAGCTCGTGGTGCGAGCCGCATCGCCACCGCTGCGCTCGGACGCGGTAGTACAGATCCTGGTGACCGATGTGAACGACAACGCGCCGGTGCTTAAGGACTTTCAGATCATTTTCAACAATTTCAAGGACTTCTTCCCGACCACGCCGATTGGACGGATACCAGCGGTGGACGCCGACGTGACGGACAATCTCGTCTACAGTATCCTCGCCGGCAATAACGCGAATCTGATCGATCTCAACAGGACCACCGGCGAGATCCGGCTGTCGCCACAGCTCAACACCAACGTGCCGCGAGTGGCGACTATGGAGGTCGCCGTGACGGACGGCATCAACGAAGCTAAGGCCACGATGACGTTGTCGGTGCGTCTGATCACCGACGAGATGCTGTTGAATTCAATCACCGTAAGACTGGACGACATGACGGTGGAGGCATTTCTCAGCCCTCTTCTGGGTTACTTTCTGGACGGCTTGGCGGCTATCATTCCGTGCCCGCGCGAGAACATCTTCCTCTTTAGCGTCCAGGAAGACGCAAACGTGCACGGCAAGATCCTGAACGTGAGCTTCTCGGCGCGCAGGGTCGAACCGGGCACGGTTGATGAGTTTTACAGCCCGCAATTTCTTCAGGAACGGGTGTACCTCAACCGGGGTATCCTGGCAAGATTGGCGACGGTCACTGTTTTGCCTTTCGACGACAATCTCTGCGTCCGCGAGCCCTGCCTGAACTTCGAGGAGTGCCTGACGGTGCTCAAGTTCGGCAACGCTTCTGGCTTCGCCAGCAGTGACACGGTCCTCTTTCGGCCTATCTATCCGGTGACCACGTTCGCGTGCAGATGCGTCCGTGGCTTCACCGGCAGCCGCGAGGCTTACATGTGCGACACCGAAGTGAATCTGTGCTACTCGAATCCCTGCATGAACAGCGGCACCTGCCACAGACGAGAGGGCGGGTACTCGTGCACCTGCCGACCGGACTTCACTGGCGTGAACTGCGAGATCTCGCTGGACCACGACGCTTGCTCTCCCGACGTTTGCAAGGGCGGCTCTCAGTGCACCATAAAAAATACCGGTAGCTTTACCTGCGAGGGTTGCCCCGTGTCCGCTCTGGAGAGCGTAACGCCTCTCTGTGAGTTGAGGGCACGCAGTTTCGGTCCGGCGACATTCCTCACCTTCGCTTCTCTCAAGCAACGTCACCGTCTTCATCTTAGACTGAAATTTGCCACCGAATTAGCCGATGGCCTGCTGCTCTACAACGGCAGGTACAACGAACGCCACGACTTCATCGCTTTAGAAATCGTGGACTCGCGCGTGCAGTTCAGCTTTTCCCTCGGTGACGAGGTAACGAGAGCGACAGCGAGTATTCCCGGCGGCGTCTCGGACGGTCGATGGCACGAAGTGACGGTCTCGTACATTAACCGGACAGTGACGGTGTCCCTGGACGACTGCGACGTCGCGCTCGCTCTAAAGCACGGGGAGAGACTGGGTCCGAGATGGGCCTGTGCTGGTAAGAGCGAGAGAATCCTCGAAGAGCGCTGCGGACTTGTCACCGAAACCTGCCACAGGTTCCTGGACTTGACCGGACCGTTGCAGTTGGGCGGTCTACCGGCGATCCCGTCCAGCTTCCAAATCCGGAACAAGGACTACGTCGGATGCATCAGTGATCTCTACATCGATCACGTTTTCGTTGACTTGAATTCATTTGTGGCCGACAACGGAACGAATGCCGGCTGCCCCGAGAAGACCGCCTTCTGCGCCTCGTCGCCCTGCAGGAACAACGGCAAATGCCGCGAGATCTGGTCAGGTTTCGTATGCGAGTGCGAGCATAACTTCGCCGGGCCTGTCTGCGCCGAGGAGATCGGCGCACCGTATGGCTTCCACGGCGACGGCATGCTCGGCTTCAATCCGTTACTGCGACCTATTCAGTTACCGTGGACGACGGCCCTCAGTCTCCGAACCCGCGCGCGACATGCATTCGTCATGAGCGTGCAGATCGGCCAGAATAGCTCGGTCCTGCTGGAAATCCGAGACGGCAAGCTGGTCGTCTCGCTGGACGGTGCCGACGTGATCCGAACTGGCGGTACGGTTGCGGATGGCGAGTGGCATCGCGTGGAGATCGTCTGGCAAAGTGGCCACGTGTTCCTGGACACAGACTATCGCGATCGACCGACGACTGTGCCGCTACCAGCCAAGCTGCAGGGCCTGTACGTCGGCAGAATCCTCGTAGGCGGTCCGGACCAAGCGACCAACGTCGATCTGCCGTTCTTCGACGGCTGTCTGCAGGACGTACGAATCGGCACCAACCAGAGCGTTCTCCAGCGGCCGACCGTCCAAGAGAACGTCGACGCCGGTTGTCCGTCTGAGACCCAGTGCAGCTTGGAATGTCCGCAAGCGTCGATCTGCATCGCGCAGTGGCGGTCAAGCGAGTGCATATGCGCGGCCGGCCGCGTCGGTCGCAACTGCGAACGCGTCTGCAACCTCGAGCCCTGCAACGACGCCGGCACCTGCATCGAAGATGCGACCGACGTGCGTCGCGGTTATCGATGCGAATGCGATTCTTCCGATATATCCGGAGATTACTGCGAGACGAAGAGCGAGCAGCCCTGCCCGGCGACATGGTGGGGATCCCCAATCTGCGGGCCCTGCCACTGCGACGAGACCAAGGGCTACGATCCCGCTTGCAACAAGACCACCGGCGAGTGTCACTGCAAGGAGAATCACTATCAGCCGAACGGGCGAAAGGAGTGCATACCGTGCGAGTGCTACACAACCGGCAGCTACGGGCCTCGTTGCGACAGCGAGTCTGGTCAGTGCCGCTGTCGGACTGGAGTAATCGGTCGTTCATGCACCGACTGCCCAAATCCTTATGCCGAGGTGAGAGAGTAGAACGAAATATCAAATATATTTAACTAGCGCCGTGACACCTTTGAAATGAATTCTCATCTAGAAGCAAAACCTATTACAAAGTCGATCGATGAAATATTTTAATTAGTATTTTCTTGTGTAATTTCTGAACACTTGAAAAATATAATACTACATTTAATAATAATTTTAGCTTAGGAAGATCCTTAGCGTTGTTAACTAAAATGTTGATATTTATTTAATATGCTAGGTGACTTTGAGGGGCTGTGAAGTGGTCTACGATGGCTGTCCCAGATCATACTCGGACGGTTTGTGGTGGCCGCGTACTCTCTTCGGGATGACGGCCATCGAGGACTGTCCCGGCACCGCCGAAGGCAAGACCTCCAGATCCTGCGACGACAAGTTAGGCGGTTGGCAACCGCCCGATCTCTTTAACTGCACCTCGGAGGCCTTCGTCGAGCAACGATACCAGCTGGCGGCTCTGGAGACCAAGGATCTCACGTTAAACACGTACGTAGCCGTGAAGATGGCGAAGGACGTTCACAGAGCGGTGAATATCACGAGGGATATGTACGGAGCGGATCTCCTGGTGGCGGAATCTTTGCTGGTGGCGTTGCTGCGTTACGAAGAAAGTTTGGTGGGTCTGAACTTGACTCACAGCCAGGACAAGGATTACGTTTCCCACCTGGTCAGCATAGCCGGAGCAATTCTGCGATCCAAATACAAGGACAACTGGGAAACGATAGGAGAACTTAACGGAGACAGTCCCGATAAGATTCTGAACGCTATGGCGAGATACTTGAAGACTTTAACGGCATCTCAACACGATACCTTTACCAATCCCTTCGAAGTAGTCGACGATAACGTTGGTGAGTCCTTCTTTCTCTCCTTTTAATTTTATTATAAACTACTTAGTCAGTACTTTTAGATATTTTGTTATTTCTCTAGATTTTTGTCCTCCATTTTCTCTAAAATGTTAAAATTAATACAAATTTTTTATTGAAAAATAAATTCTGCACGCGATACGCGAAAATGATAAAATTAAAAATAATACAGTTATAATTTGACAGCTTCCGCCAAATATACAATATTTTGCACTTTATACTGCGCGGAGAAATGACTTTTATTATTAAATTATATGCGTCACGTTTTAGTGCTAGGTCTAGACGTTGTAACGTCAGAAAGCCTCTTCGGCTACGAGGCCGCCGAGTACAAGGAAGACCTCACCTTATCAACAGCAAGGCCCGCGGAAGCCGACCGAAAGGTCATTCTGCCCGATACCTCTGCTTTCCTGAGCTCCTCGACGCACTTTGGTCCGTCCATCAGCTTTCCAAAGTACAACAACTACATGGCTGATCCCAGCAAATTCGATCCACATTCGAAAATCCAGGTGCCACTCAACACATTAGGTATCAAACCTCTCATGCAGGGTGAGCTGAATATCAAGAACAGTCTGAACAATCAAAAGGCCGTGCTGAGTTACGTGCAATACAAGGAACTCGGTGCTCTCTTGCCACAGAGGTGCGTTATTATGCTCGTACTATAATAATTAGCTATTATCGTAACATGATAGAAACTAATTATTTATCCTTATTAAGCTCTTATGCAGAAATAGGAATAAACGGCATATCTATTTAATTGCTTTAATAATGACGCTTGAATTATAGATTCGATGACTCGGTGGCAGTTAGATGGGGAGTAGAAGTAGCGGTTGGATCGCCCGTAATGACCGTTTCGGTGTTAGTTCCCTCGGATGACGGCTACGAGTCCTTGACAGGAATCCCTTTACAGTCGCCGATTCAAGTCAGACTTTGGCTGAATGAAAACGATGATTTCAAGACGAGAACAAACCCGCAATGCGTTCATTGGAGCACGGCGAGAGGGTAAGAAAAGTTACTTGATTTCTCACGAAAGACGTTCGAACTTTTTTTATGAGAAACTAATCGGACCTAACGATTGATAGATTTAATCAGTCACAATTCAATTGTACAAACATTTGAAGTTTATTCTATTCAATTTTAAATAATAACAATTTTACAGTAGTCCACATGAAATGATTTCTTTAATGAATTTCAGAGTCGGCGAATGGAGCCGAATGGGCTGCACGACGGAAATCGAAGACAATTCCCTGTCCTTCGGCACAATCGTGAACTGCTCTTGCATGCAACTGTCCACCTTCGCCATACTGACAGACGTCCTCGATCTCGAATACGTCCCCGAGCCATCCTTGCTAGAGGATGTCACCAGTTACAGTGCGTTCCTGCTCGCTTTGCCGCTGCTGTTATCCGCTCTCCTGATTCTGGCGTTGATTCGCGGCGGTGGCACCAACTCCAACAGTATCCACAAGAATCTGGTGTTATGTGTTCTCGTGGCGGAAATTCTGTACCTGATCGCGCTCAAGGCCAGAAATCCTCTCATCTCCAACGAATTTCCGTGCAAACTTACGGCGATAGGACTGCATTATGCCTGGTTGAGCACCTTCGCCTGGACCCTCGTAGACTCTGTACATCTCTATCGGATGCTGACGGAAATGAGAGACGTCAATCACGGCGAGATGAGATTTTATTACACTATGGGATACGGTCTGCCGGCTGTCATCGTTGGGCTTACTATCGGCGTCAGGGCCGATCAGTATGGAAATTTCTATTTGTAAGTTGGTCAGTCTATTCCTTAAATAATTACAAAAATGTCTTAATTTTTTACATCTCAAAATCCAGGATCTATTGTCATAACGTTAAAAGTTTTATTGTTTTATCAAGCAAATAATAAAATTGAAGATTTAAATTTAATAAAGATGAGACGATATAATTGTAAGTTTGACGATAATTCGTGTTACAATATATTATTCTTTCGCGACTTGTCAAAACTACTAGATATAATTTCAAACTTTAAAATGTAATATTTTAGCTACATAAATTTTTATTTGATTTTTCAGCTGCTGGCTGTCCATTTACGAGACTGTGATTTGGTCGCTCATAGGACCTGTCTGCGCGGCCGTGTTAGTGAACTTCTGCATTCTCGTGATGTGCATCCGCGCAGCGTTTACTCTGAAAGAGCACATCATGGGCTTCGGAAATCTACGGACGCTCTTATGGCTATCTGTCGCTTCGTTACCTTTGCTGGGCTCGACATGGACTCTGGCGGTTCTCAACGCATCGGAGAACTCGGCGATGCTATCATACTTGCTCAGCGTCGCTATTGTGGTCCACGCGGCATTCAGCCTGATCGGTTACTGCTTCATCAACGGCAGAGTGAGGAGGAATTTGTATCAGAGTCTGTTAAGGTGTATCGGCAAAAAGACGCCTTTGCTGGAAGGCAGCATGGGCAACGGAAGCAGCAGTCAGAACGTAAATGGCCATTCGGTATGTAATTTAAAATTGACCTCCTGTTACAAATATAAAAATTAAACATAAATGTGTTAATATTGACGATCATGTTTCAGCGTTCGGCGCTAGCTTATTCCTCGACCTACAGCGGCGCGGAAGCCGTGTGCAAGAGAGTCCACGTCGGCGTTTCCACGAGCAGCACGACTTCAAGAAGTACAAATAAAACAGGCTCGAGCCCTTATCGTAGCGATACGCACTTGAGACACACGTCAACGTCCACAAGCAATTACAATAGCGACCGAGATCCGTACCTGTCGTCGCGGAGTCATCGATCAGCGCTACATTCTCGACAAGGTTTTAAAAGCAGCAAATTTACTGAAATCGATTTATTCGAACTAATTCATAAAAATGTTTAAGTTAATGTCATGCGTAAACGTTCATAATAGAAACTACGGAGGTAAGAGGTCAGCGCAGAGAATCAGAATCGGACTCGGACGGCTCGCAGGCCGAAGGAGGCGGCAGGAGCCTGGACCTCGCAAGTTCGCACAGCTCCGATGAGGACGACGTTACGTCGAGATCGCACAGAAACATGGGGGTGACCACACAGCAACACGTCGCCCACAGCTACCTACCCAATATTCACACCAATCCCGCCGAACACTTGAACATACTTTGTTCCAACGCTGAATTATTCCCCAACATCAAACCCATCTATGCCCCCCGATGGAGTTCCCAACTGCCAGAAGCGTATCTGTCGTCAAATGGTGAGTTAAATCACAAAAGTTTTAAGTTAAGAATTAAAAGATGTGTTTAAAAAATCTTAACTCGTAATACAAAAGATAGAGAATTTTGTAAAAAGGTACGGAAATTAAATAAAAAGATAAACGAAATCAAATTAAATCAAACTGAATGATTTAAATGTATTATTTCTCGCATTTTATAATATACAATTATACAAATTATAAAAGTATATTATAAGGCTATGATAAGATTTTTGATAACAGTCGAGAAATAATACGATTCATTACAGTGATGGACGTGCGCGGTAGTCAATGGTCAGGCGGTACCATGTCAGATAACGAGATGGCCTCGAACAAGACCTCGAGCCCGAACCCGCTGCCGTATCCAGAGATGAGTTCGCCGCCGAAGAACCAGCCGGACGAGAACTATTCGGAAGGTGAGGAGAAGATGCACCATCTGGGTGAAAAGTATCTGTTCCCCTATACCGCTGAGGAAGACCACACAGTGTCGCCCACTCCGTATGTACTGTCCATGTCGTCGCGCATCCTCGCCTCCAGCATGAGCCATCACTCGCAGAACTCAAATCACGAGAATCTGAGTGGTTCCGAGCAGCGCTACGGCAGCTTAAAGCGCGGTCAAAGTCTACACGGCTCCCAGAATGACAATCTCAGCGGCTCGGAGAGGTATGGTAGTCTGAAACGCGGCAAGATGGGCACCCCCACCGTTCTGGAGGACAGACCCGAGTACATCCTGCCGATGAGCGGCAGGATACTGTCCAGCTCGTTGACCCATGACCTGCAGCACAGTAACGAGCTGGCAGCGCTCAGGCAGCAACAGCAGCAGCAGCAGCAGCAGCAGCAGCAACAGCAACAGTACGAACAGACCATCACTGAGACCGAGTGAGTAGTACGGATATATATCACGCTTGGACTTGGGAGATTTATTTTTTAATTGAGTATCGGGTGGCTTTTTAAATTGGATGCAAAGTAGACAGCTTGAATGAGCTTGTTATGTACGATGGATTTGATGGCTGAATCAAAGATCTTAAGCTAACAAAGAGGGAACATTTCACATTGCTTCCATAGAGAGCTTTTTCTTTCTTACATGTATATCGCTTATGAAAATAATCTTTTTTTGAAGAATGATTAGTAGGAAAAAGACTCATGGCTTCAGCAAATCTTAAAATGGAATAAATGCAACATGATCTGTGGCTGCAGTAATGCTATTTAATTAATAAAGACTGTAAATCATTAGAGCTTATAGTTAAACTTGTGACAGAGTCGTAAAAATAAAATCACATAGTCACATTTGGATAAAAATAGAAACCTTTATATAAACGATTATCCAAGAAGTTGTTGCGTTCATTGAGATATAAAACAATTTACAAAAAGACAATACAAATACATCACATCCAGTGTATGTAAAAAAAAAGGTGGGCGGCGAGTTAACATACTTAAGTTACAGCGTTTTCATGTTTTAGCGCAGTTACGTAACATTCCTTTTAATTGATTCTGGTTTTTCTTTGGTTTCCTGTGTTTCTCCTTGCTGTATGCGCAAAAGGTGGCGTTGGAACGTTCTAACATAACTGTATCTTTTCCGTGCTTGCCCTGACGACTGTCAAATCATCAGCGAGGAGGTAAGCGAGCGTAACAATGTAAATCTATAAATCGCCCTGCAAAACCGCAACGATTGTCTCTGTCGCTCATTTTCTCCGTGTCTCGAAATATCGCCCAACTGGGTCGGAACTAATCGCAAATTGTCGCTGTTGCAGGAAGGATACTAATGCGGAAACGTCCGTCTGACGAGGTCCGTGCCACGAAGAGAGAACAACGTACAAAGTAATTTAGTTTACGCCTAGCTTAAGTGTCCAACGCGCAATAAAGACTCGAACGATCGTCGATATATATATTTTAAGAAGCGGCCATGACTGTACTTACATACTTAGCCATATTAATTAGCATGTATGTGCGAGTGCCTGTTTATATATTGCATATGGAAGGTCTATCAGAGTAATCTTGGGAGATAATCCTCACATTAAAATTTATTCCATCGATCTGATAATTATATAACAGATATATGTATATATTATAATATATGTATACATATATATGATATAAATTATATAAATCGGCAGTTATTGCTGTCATCATTGAAAAATATCTCGATGTCATATTTATCCAGCGTTACACAGTTGGAGGATTCAGAGTGTAAAGAGAAAATAAAGTTTACAATTTATAGATACGTATTTTGAATACAATATTTTGTATTTGAGACATATATAGAAAATTACGGAGTAAAATCAAACGTTCACACTGAATCGTTCAATCACTCTGATCGACCTAATAAATTGCGCTTGTTATTATTTTTAGGTAGGAGCGATTCGGCTCCGACTTGTGAATCTCCGATTCTCAATGAATGATCGTTGCAGCCAATTAGCAATGACATTCAGGAAGATACGGAGAACAAAAATGATCTCCAATCATTATCGCATACTTATTAATCTCATTCTATCCTATCTTAAATTCTCCCTCTCCTTGAGCTCAGTATTGTGCAATGTATACATTCCACTGTCTATTCTCTTTCTCGTACATAGGATGATCTTTAATTATTTATATATCAATACTTCAGAGGCTGAAGCTAGAGACCAAAACAAAAAATGTCACGAACGTTTAGGTTATTTAGGGCTATATTCTGTAATAAAATGCTCTGTATTTCTATAAGATATGTGGCATTGTCGAGCAAGAGAGGAAGAGCGAAGAATGCAAAGATGAAAGAGCTTATAGAGCGAAAATCTCTTACAGAATTCAGGGCTTAGACTTTATTTTCATATAACATATTTTGCTTCATTTAAGCTATGCTCATCCTCTAAAGTATTAATATGTAATTAAAAATCATTCCGCGTATATGTATAATTTTAGGTTTCGTTTACTTTTTTTATAGAAGTTTACAATCTTTCTCTTTATTTTATATGCCATGAAAAAGAAGAAAAAGTAGCGTAAATCGAAGCGTACAATCATGCGGAGCATTTTTTACATACTTTTGTATATACACTCATACGAGACGAAGAGAAAAGAGAACTGTGACAAAATACATAATTTATATACCCTCAGTATGTCGGGGTAGGGTTCGTTTCTTTTTAACCACACTCACAACTATAAGTTGGCAATGTCACTCCACAGAGTCTGCAGCAATATCATTGATTTAAAAATTATATTTATTTTCTCGTCGAAAATATAAATAAATTACAAAATATATAGTATCGGTGTGGTATGTGCGGATCGATATACTCGGAAGAGTAACGTTTTATATGAAGTCGAGATATATACGTATATATATCGCGATTCGATCGCCGATCACGTCCAGATGAGTTCAACCTTCGAGAGAAGCCTCTTGCTGGACGTTTTCGGTGTTCAAGGGCGATTATTACGCATTTATTTATCTTCCCTTTCTATTTCTCTACGAAGGTACGTACATACGCAAATTGGATACTGTTCGTTTCGCATTACGTTCGATGTGATTTCGGATTTGTTTATGGTTTGATTCGGCTTACAGTGCTATCAGCTACATGCGGAGTAAAATGTACAAATGTAAGAAATCTCGTTGATGAAAGATCCGAGTCCGTTTCTCCGCGTTCCACTCTTGTTAGACACGACGACGACGACGACAATGATGACAACGATGATATTCTTATGCTTATCTTAAGTTACAGTTTAAGAGAATCCGCCCGACGACACGAGGGACAAATCGAGTACAGGATTCGCGCCTGACCATAATGGCACATACACATCACTAAATACTAACCGCTAGAGACTAGGGGGATATCGTCACTACACGGTGCTCTCCGTATCGGACGCCACGGAAAGCGTCTGCATCTTCGGTACGGAATAATTCTCCGAGTGGCCGTGGTTCTGCGTCCTGTTGGATACTCTCTCCAGGGTCGAAGGAGCCGACGGAGTGTCCTGATGAGCCTTGGGAGGAATTGGTGGAGGGCTCACCTGCGAAAGAGAATTAATCAAATCATTGTTCTCATCTTGTTTTATAAATGTATGTAGAAGAAAATTAAGCGGGCTATATTTCCTCACTTCTTGATTGGGAAGAGAATGCAAGCCGCCCTGGAATGTGCCGCTGGCAAAACTGCCAGTGGAAACGTTGAGCGCGCTTATCACAGATGGTGGCGAGATGTTCATAATATCGTTGCATCGAGAGCGCGGCTCAAAGTCCTCATAGCCTAAGTTATTTAGGTTCGTCAAATGTGACTGAAAGTCCAGCAGACTGGCAGTGGAGATTCCGCTGTCGCGTAGGTCATTCGGCTCGTTTCTCGGTTCCGTGATTTCGGAATCGTCGTCGGTGCTCCATTCCGTATTTGTGCGTTTGTGCGTTAAACCACGTTTCGGCGGTGCTGGCGGCACCACCGCATTCGTGTTCGAGTCCTTCTTGTCCAGCACTGGAACAGGAAGTGCGCACGAGTAATGCGATGATTTTAGTGGAAAATTTATTCCTGACAGCTCAAATATTAAATTTCTTTATGTAGTCCAATATAATAAATTTATTATTAGACTACATAAAGTTAAAATGAAACAAGATAAAGTAATGCCCACTGGGCATTAGTAGGCATTGGTGTACACGATTTTGGTCAGCAGTTTACCCTTCGGAAAATATTAATCTAATATGTTGAAAGATAATAACAAAGATATTAACTTACTACAACCCCTAGGTGGTAGCGGCGGAGCGGGTTCAGGTCCAGGCTCGCTCCATGAGCTTCTAAGGCCACCTTGATCCACGCCATCGGTAGGAGTAGGCAAGGAATGCCTCAGTGGCAGTTTTGGACTCAGCGGCTTACTGAGAGATCTCTGATGCGTGGGCCTAGGTGGAGTAGTGCCATAACCGACGGAACGCGGCCGTACTTCTCGCTGAGGAATAGGCGGCGGCACACCGTCTACTTTCGTGTAGAAGCCTTCGTCTTCAGGAAGACCGTCGCTGTCGGCGTGCGACGATCTGGAACCGGCCGTTTCCAGAGTGGCTGGACGCTGCTTGTCGTTGATCGGCAACGGTGGCAGGGGCGAACTAAAAGAGCAACAATGTGATTAGAGTAATTAATGGAAATAGTTTGGAAACTACGGCTATACAATGAAACAAACTCTATAGAGTATACAGAAAATAATTACTTCACGATGCTATCTTGATGAATGGTTCTCTGCCTGGTCAATGGACCGAGGCCTTGCTTGAGCTGCGTGAATCTCTCGATTAGCCTCTTATGCAGCGGTTGGACTCCAGTCGGTGCGATCTGACCATGCAACACCAGGCCGGATTCTAACACACTCATCTGATCCAGTATTAATCCCTTCAATCGATTAACATGCGGCACCATTTCAGGATTCTGTCGGGCAAACTCCGGCGTGAGGAAGGCCTCTTGATATTTGGTGATGCCGCCCATTACGTTAGCGTCGATGATACCCTGCAGCCGCATGCTGAATGGATTGATATTTCTGTGTGGCTCCGCGGTATACTGTGCCACCAGCCGCCTCAGCTCCCTCTCCACGCTCTGCATAGTCTCGCAGGCATACTGTACCGGTGCCAACAACTCCGACCGTTTATCGATCACTTCGAACCATCTGAGGATCCCTGGCAGTTTAGCTTCTGTCGTCAACATCGTCCTCTCGATCCACAGTGATTTGAACTCATTTTCGCGGTCCACCGGACCGCGATGCAACGGCCGATCAAATGTGAATTTGCGAACGTCGTTCACCAAGTAGAAGGCGACCACGCGTTCTGGAACTTCGACACCGCTGCAAGCCAAACTGCCCTCCTCGGGGATCGGCTTGACATTGCAAATTTGGATATCTGCAAAAGTATAGTGGATGATTAGATAAAATGTATATATTCATTTATAAAAAAATGGTCAATTCCCAAATTATTGGGACTTTTATAATTTAAAAGAATAACTAATAGGACTGATCTCGCGCTTACATTGACCCTCAGATGTAAGGATAGTTTCGTCAGGCGGGGAATTCTTCATTAAAATTTGCGCACAGGGAAACTCGGTTTGCAACCGCTGCGTAAACGCTCCTATTCGCTCGTATTCCAGGCCACGATAAATAAACAACTTGTTCTGCAATAAAAGGCACGGATAAAGCGTCAATTTTACAAGAGTGAAAGAAAAACCGAAACTCGAACTTTTACAAAATATTTTTAATACAATAGAATTGCGTTTAAATTGCTTTATACCGAGGATGTATTTAAAAGTCCCCTTGGATTTATACATCATACTCACTCTGACGAAAAGCGGAAAACTGAGGCCGTAAAATCCAACGCGGAAGTACTCCGGTTCCGGCCGGAGTTGCGTCAGGATATTATCCAAGAATTTGGCTTGTAACTTCAACACTTGACTAAGTTTGGCATAATCGTACAGCCTAGTCTCGTATAGGATCGCCAGCTCCTTGCACAAGGGTATGCCCTTTTCCCAGCACTTGCCACGATCGAGATAATGAATAATCTTATGATAGAGTAGCTCTTTGCGCTGCCATTCCGGCTGCTGTGGATGAATGTGGTCAGGTGGTAGCATGGTCGAGCCCCAGCCCAGCTGATCGGCGTAGAGCTTCATCGTGAAGCCAGCTTCCGTATAATTCTCGGCGGTCAGATGTAGATCGTTCAGCTTGTAGATATAACGCAGGTACATCTCCTTCCGGTTGAACTCATTCTTGTAGAAGTTCTGCAGAAAGAGTAGAAGTAGCCCCATGTTGAGAGAGGGATTCGCTTCTAGCAATTGACGATTTAAGAACCAACTCGACAGGCAGAACAATAAAATTTCCATTGAAGAGCGCGAACACGAGTGCTAAATGTCACGCGAGAAGTGGCTATATTGGCGAGCACCAAATACATGTGGTGGTCACGTGTCACACGATTTAGTTAATTAACGCGCTAAATTATAAGAGAAGTAACTTGTGTATATAGCTACGGCTTTGCGCCACACATTTCTTGATTGTAGCCTTAGTATATTATTAACAAGTAATAAGTAATCACGCGAATCTTATTGGATTTTCTGTAGAGAAAAATCTCTAAATAATAATTCTTTACCAATAGATTTACGGTGCACGACATGCGCTTGTCGCGATTCTCGTCACCCTGAATGACGCTTCTGTAATCGAGAAGCCTCTCTAATAGACGCGTGACGGATGTTATAAAGGCCGTGCCACTGTCCTTCCAAGTTGGATCCTCGGACTGCACTCTGTCTAGTAACCTGTAAACGAATGTAGGAAATTGATTAAAGCTGAATCTCTAAAATCACGTTCTGCTGTAAACGTTGCACTTACACAGCGCTAAGATGTTCCCTGAAGCAGCATGAAATTGTATAATAAATAAGATAAGTATTACATAACTTTTTCATGAAACAAACACAAACGAAAAAATACTACGGTAACAAACGGCATTCTGTTTGTACAAAAATGTGGTAGCAAAAGTAAAAAATTATAGTACTAAAAATATGCACAATTTAAGATTAAAAATAGAAAATTTTTATTTCAATATTTAATGAAATTAACATCTCCTCTTAAGGCCTCTGTTTTGGGGTGTTTTAAGAGTATAGAACTCCGAGATTGGATATGGTTAGAAATGGATTTAACTAAACCAAGAGCGACATATACTTACATTGTGTTGAACAACTGCCTGTACTCGTCGTCACCCTTGTTCTCGCTGATAAGAATGTCGAGTTTGTCAATCAGCTCGGATTCCACGGACTTGAAGCTTCCACGAGCTCGCTGCTCGCACTCCATCATATCAAAGAAGATGTGCAGGGTTGCCTTGCGGAGCTCGCTTTCCGGCACCAAAGTGACCTCGAGGAAAGGCCCTACCATGCCCGGTATGAACTCGAGCTTACGCTCGCCCAAGTTGGACCACATGGACAATATCTGAAAGCCCATAAGTACCCTCATGTCGCTGTACTTCTCGACAATCTTCTCCCGCTTGACTTCGGAGAATTGTTCAAGCTGGAGCGACGGCTGGGTGAGGTAGGCCACCGCTAGATTGAAATACGTGGACCACAGCTGCGAGTCGAAGTTGCCATGGAGGAAATGAAAAGCGAGCGGCTGTGCGAGTTCCTGCAACGACCTCAGGATGACGCTATTAGCCTGCATCCTGATGACCAGCCAATCTGGTGGAAATACATCCTGGCGCACGAGGTCGCGCAGCACTAGGAATACCCGTAGCAGAAAGTCTTTGAGAGGTTTCCGGTCGCCGGCATGCGTCAACTCTTCCCAGAGTCGTGCGTAATGGTACTCGTCGAGCAGCTGAAGTAGTCCGATAAGACAGCCGACGAGACAGCCGAGGACAGGCCCATTGGCATTTATCACGATCAGTATCGTCTGTATGAGTACATCGAGCACTGACAGACAAAGCGTCTCGACGTCATGGTGTATGCAATTGTTGACTTTGTTCGTGTCCCTGCCGCGTTTATGCAAAAAGCTGAGTATCTCGCCCAGGATGTCGGTACAGGATCGTAATTCCTCCCTGCGTGCCAGGTGGATGCGTAAGTGCCGACATACGGTGACAAGCAACATGTTTCGACTCTCGTCGTCCTTGCGGAACAGACTGGACGCGGTAAGATTTTTAATGGCAACCAGCTTGGCTTGCGTGAGCTGCAACGGTGGCTCTCGCGACACCGAGTCTAGCATTGTACATGTGAGTTTAGCAACCTCCAGGAACGGCAGCACTGCTACTAGCTGTTCGAACACCGCTGCGATCGACAACAGCAGCGCGATTTGCGACAGCAGCACCATTTCGTAAGGAAGGCCTAACATCTTATTGAGGGCTGCGAACACGCAATATAAATCGCGCTTGAAACTGTCCTCGTATTGGCCGGCGGTTGCGCGAGCAAACAACAGCCGGCTTTGGATGATAAACTTGAAGATATACTCGAGAGAGCGGAAGCATTTCATAATCGGCTCCTGCTTCTCCGCGGCGGTTACCCAATCGGCGCAATGTTGCACGCTGCTGAGAAGACCTTTGTACACCAAAGCCGCAGCGAAATGGTCAGAGATATAAGCGTCCATCACAGGCTTGAAATGTTCGAACTTGGAGTCCTCCAACAAGCTAAAGATAGACACGAGTACTTGGAACACAAGACCGGAATGCGCGGTGGAGTTGCCATCCTCAGTATGAAACATAGCGAAGAGTGAGTCAAGGATGTCCTGTAGGAATTTGACCAGTTCTTCACCGTCCAGTCGAAGAACGCGACCAAGAGCTTCAGATATTCGGTCGGGATGAGCTTTCCATTGCAGCAAACTGAGTAGATCGACGTTCTGCGTTAATTTGGTACTGCAGAGCAGGGTATGTACGAATACAGTCTCCTTGGGCGATCTGGAGAAAGCTGGCGGACCTGGAAAGTAATAAGAAAATAATTCTATGAATATAAGTATTGAAATATATCTAATTTTAATACTTTTCTTGTAGACGTACCGTATAGTAACTCGATATTAACACAATTTTATACATTGATAATGCAATAGATAATTAATATTGCATTAAGTTTTAGAAGTCTTAATTCTTTATTTTAATCACATTAAATTTTGATTTTATTAAGGCACTCGGACTTACCTGAGGCACATGGTTCTCTCGTGTTACTCGGCAACGACAGGTAACCCAGGGAATCTAATTTCGCGCGTTCCTCGCACTTGTAAATATATAACTCATGCGGTCCGTCCTGAAGAGTAGCACCTCCGGGCTCCATGAGACGTACGAACGCGAAGGCGAACAGTTTCTTGTCGTTCTTCTCGCGTGCTGCAACACAGGAGCTTTCGCGTTGTAAAATGGTAAATGAAGACGAAGAGAATGGGTGGAAAGATGAAAAGATACGCGGAGACCGTTTAAGCGAAGGCGGAAGACCAGAATTAGATCGGTATCTATTGGGACTCACTGGAGCAATGCCGAAACTCGAAACGCACGTGGCTCCCGTAGAACTTGTCGATGGGTATCGCCAATCTCACAGTTTCCGCCCACGATGGACTGTTGTGATGGTATATGACCAAACTCTGATATTCGGAGCTGCCGTCCGTCCCCGCGGCACCAAACAGACACTCTTCCAAGGGCTGGCCGTCCGCGTCTAGGACCAGGATTGTTACCTAATTTTGTTGCAATAGAGACGATACAAAATATTAAATTTCATGAAAATAATTAATTGCTTTTATATAAGATCGAGGTTTTACAATATTTTAATTTGTTAAACTTACTTATACGTAATAGTTGTACATTTTCTCAAATCAAAAAGTAATTGTACCCCGTGAAAATATTCTTGTACGCAACTTGTACAAACGAACATGTATCGCGAGAGACGAACAAGTCGAACATTTTGTTTCACCTCGATATTCTTGCCGGTAGACTTTCCGCCGCGTTCGAATTCACCGCGTTCCAGCTTCAGATATAGATCGTTGCGCACGTCGCCCGGCATGATAACGTCCGAGAAGCCGAGCTTCTTCGTGAGGCAGATATTTTTGAAAAGCAACGGATTCTCGTCCCGAACTTGAGAAAGCTCGCCGTGCAGGATACGAAGGGATACAACTATTCCATAATTAGGCTGTCCGGGTAAAGGAGAGCACTTGTTGTTACGTATGATTTGTTCGTGGAGCTGGTGGAACTCCTTCTCTTCACCCTGGTACACCTGCAAACAAGTGGAGATCCTTCCAATTAAATCCATCTCGTCCAAAATTCTCTTTGGGTGTTGCCAAAAAATCAAGAGAACCAAAAGTAACTCAGATCGAAATCTTTTCGACGAAGTACGGTAAAAAGTACGCTTGAAATTCGCGGTTTACAAATTTCGTTCCCCTCGGTAACATTCAAGACTAAAATAACACGATAGATTTATATGTAAACCGATAGGTTTCTTCGCTCACTTTGAAGGTCATCTCGAGTTCCTCCGCGTGATCTTGGGAGGCTTCCGCCAGGGAGAGAACCGCCACCCCATGAGGCCGCCTGTAAATCGCAGTTCCGGTCTTGTTTTTGCTGGAATCGGAGTACAGCATCCGGCCGCAGCGCATCACGTGGGCGATCATATAGAGATCGCGGCTCAAGTCGGAATTGCCCAGATCCGTAAAGATGGTGCAATTGCTGTGCATCTTCTCCACATAATTGGAGAAGCCCTCCTTGCTGATGCGTACCAGGAAGCGCTCGCTCAGATACTGCTGCCGCTTGGCATCGAACAGAGAGAAGTAGATCTCGGTGTCCTCGCCGACCGAGTGGCCGAAGTCCCTCATGCAGAAGTACAGGTGATGAGTGAGGACCTTCTTGTGCTCCTTGCGACGTAGGGTGCCGCGAGCGGATGCGCCCTGCGAATTCTCGGCACTCTGCACGTGCTACAGCCCCCGCGAGAAAAGATCGAGATTAATAGCACGCAAACAATTTGTTTATTTATTTACTTATAGCGGTCAACTCAGTTTTTCGGCCCTAAACTTAGTTTAATTTACTGAAACAGAAGCGCTGCGTATTTAAGGAGATGAGCCAGCGAAAATTCAATATTGATGTGAAGATGTGAAGATGTGAAGAATTAGAGGATATTAACTAAAACCGTAATTACTGCACCGATTTGAATGTAATTAACCTTTCAGTGAATTTACTTTAGCTCATATCGCTAGATGCAACATGTTTCGTTGTTACGCTCATCGTAGCAGAATAAACTGCGGCGTAACTGGTTATATTTGTATTTACGAGAAGAGTTCACTAAACAGAAGTAACTGTATCGCTTCGCACGTGACGAAGTTGATGCAATGCTACCTTTGTGGTCTGATAAACTCCATATCTGTTCTCGTTACCCTTTCTTCTTTTCATCGCGACTCGACACTTGCGAGTTATACTGAGAAAAATGTATTATTTTATTCGTAATTACCACATGATATAATTCCACGACTGACATGGTATCCGGTTCCACCATGTGAGCACCTTGGCGTGGCACCAGGTCCAAACCGAGCTTCCTGAAACATGGCAAAGTAAAGAGAGGGTCGTGATAGAGAGTGCAATTAAATTGTTGCTTCTATTATGAAAGCCAGTAAAAAATATTTCGCTGTCACCTAGCGAGAAATGTGTACAATTGTTGCTCTGCGGATAAATATAACGACGCGATTTTTACGTCCAGGCACGTGCAAATACGCCATGATGGTGGAGACTATTTTTAATTTATACCGTTAACCCCGACAGTCTGTACTCGCGGGTACCTGAAAAAAGAATTATTCAACCTTGGTGCAACGAAGTGCCTTACATAACGTCTGCCGATAAAAATTTCCCGTTGGTTATTTCCATATCAAAGGCAGACGCACTTCGGTGCGCGAGGGAATACCTCAGGGTCGGATTTACATATTCATTAAATAGCTAAATAAGCTACAGCTCGCGGGATCTGATTAAAATAAAATATTAACAAAGATCCGCTCTCCCCCGGCGTTTCTTTTCCGTTTAATAAAGTGGCGTACGGCCCTCCCGCTCGCGATTCAAAGGGAGACCAAATTCACCCTCCGCATTTTTAATCGTCCCCTCGAGACGGGGGTGTCGACGAGCGGGACTCGCCGGGTGGGTACCCCGGGGGGTCGAACGACGGGGAAACGGGCGCGCATGGGGACGCAGGATTGTTACAAGTCGCTGATTAAGGCGTACGTTGCATCACACTTTGGGAGGTTCGCTTTCGAAGTGAGGCCCCGGAGAGAGAGAGAAGCGGCTACTTAACTTCTCGTGACCCCGGCGCGCGGGGGCCGGACCGGGCTGGGCCCGCATGCCATGGGGCCGACGTGTTCTCGAACGCGTCGAGAAGGCCCTACTCCCCAGCGCGGAGGGCACCGTCGCGTCGCCCCGCAGGAATGCAGATACGCGCCGGGTCGCGATTTTTTCTTTCTTTCTTCTGTATGCGCGTACGCGTATGCACGGGGGATAGGAATCCGTAGGAAGCCGCGAGGTTCGCGCTTATCGGAAAAGAAACGGGGTCTTCGTGCGCGGCTGATTCCTGAGGGACAATCCTCGAGTTTCTACGGAAACTTCATTAGAACGTCATTTCGCGTGACATAGTCTATTTGAGGTGCCGGCATGAGACGAGATAAGGGATAAGGATAATTAACAACTCGGGGAAAAATAACGAGTGAATTAAGAGCGATGAAGTTTTCAACTGACAGTTGTACAAACGGCGGGGGAAAGCAAATAAATTATCCAGTCTGATGCGCGACATTAATTTAGAAATATTATATTTATATTGCGTATTTGCTGTTGTTACACAGCTGAAGTCATCGATAATTAATATTCCAAAAAATTTCAATGGGACGGAGCTTTATTTCGACAGGCTCGCTCGGTTATTATTATCACCGTTTACCATGGCGGTAATTAATTTCACGATTAATTGGCAGCTCTCTAATTTCAATAAAACAAGGTTTTATTACGCTCTCCCGCAAAGAGACTTATCTCATCGACACATTTAATTGCGACTGGATGCTGCGTACTGTTATCTATATGACCGTATCATTAGCGTACGAGACGACGTTGTTGAATCAGTTTTACGATTAGTTACGCGTCTGTAATGACAAATCGTCAAGAGTCACGTCTTTTCGTTATAATTTTCTCCAACATTCCGAGCTTCGTTCGTCACGTTCGTAGCATTACAGTTCCGTCATAATGGACTTTTGCTGTCACGAAATTCTGTTTGCCGTTCAATATTTACGCGAATGTAAAATTTGCCGGGCTAACGAAATTTCACGTTTAAATCGCAATTTGAATATCATTTCGCTTATCACGCGTGCGACATTTCCGTCCGCATTTACAGTGCATAAAGCGAGCTCTGTTTCTGTTCTCTGCGTACGCTGCAAGGAGAAATACGATTGAAATGGATATAATCGAGCGCTAACTTGCGTTTAGTACACTCAAACGATCCTCGCAATCGGGCCTTAATCGCGCGGCGAGAGAAGCACGATAATTATTCGCCGGCCGTTTGCATAGCTTCGCCGCGTCGATTCGATTGTTATTAATCGCTAAAATCGGACGTCGTGCGGGAGGCTGCAAGCGGTAAGAAAGTCCTTTCATAAATCTGACCTGACAGTCCTTTAAGCTTCTCTCGGAGAGCGTTTAACTCGACCGCAGTAGCGTAACTGCTAATCCAGGAGGAGGCGCAGGACCAACGAGAAAATTATTTAGCGCCAATTCACGTTGTCTGCTTCTGCTCTCGTTCGGGTCGCGATCGATTTCTGCATTTCGCCCGCAATACGCTTTCGTTCCCTCTTAATTCAACATTATTTTTAGTAATGTATTATTCAGTATTTTCATACATAATCCAGTGCAAAAATTTTGTAAATGTAATATAAATATAATTATTGCATTTTTAATAAAATTCGCATAATGCAGAAGAATAAACACAGAGAGCAAAATAAAAGAATCACTGCTCTGAAAATCTATCGCCACGTCAAAGAGAGAGCAGTTTTGATTTCCGAGTATAAATAAAATATAATTGAGGACACGATATAAAGTGTCCTCACTGTCTTCTGTGGCAAATCAGTTCGCAATTTAACGAAATTCCACCCCGCTAAGCGTCTACAAATTTCCGGGCTTAGACGAGAACCGTATAAAAAAAAAGCAATTGACAATGAGGTTCGTTTTCACAGAGACACAGAGAGAACTTTGAGCTCATGCCTTTCACGAGTTCGATGTTAAAGCAAGATTAAATTAAGTGGTAGGTTCGAGAGAGTTGAGAGGAGAGCGCGGCTCCGTGGCGCACAGGCTTGTTTTATCCTTTCCTTTTTTTTACGGTCCAGACTCTCTCGAACCTGAGAATTTCCCACCCTCCGTACGACTACGTCACTAATCGAGGTGATTCGGTCAGCGAGTCCTGCATCCCTCGCCGCCACCGAGTCGGAGTGGACCCAGGCTCCTGCTACCGCGTACGCACATCGACCAAATCGACTCAATCCGGAGTATTCGGACCGTACTTGTCTAATTAAGTCCAATAGCAAGGAGTAGTCGTGTCCAAAAAGATATTTTTAATTTTCCCAAAAATCTGCTCGCATAACTGGACCTATTCGATTTCTGCCGGCAATCTGTTGACAGCGTATGTTTTACTGACTCTGTTGCCGAAACAAAAGCCAAATGCGGACACCCAGACGGCTATGGTTTTGGCGTGAGTTTCTGACGAATCTGCTGCGAATCTGACGCCAATCCGCGAACACTTTGCCGACTGGGATGTTTCGAAATAAAGAGCAAGTGGTCTTTCAATCATAATTTATTGTGATCGATACAGTACATTAGCGGAACATTTTTCAAACTCGGTCTCTCGCTGGCTGAAATATCGACGCACGAACGGGACGCAAATAAACGTTCTCCACACGAGAAGAATCGAGGAGGGCATCGAGTACGAGTCGTACGGTCCTGCAGGCCCCGAAAGCTCTCCCTCCAGGTCCCTCATGATGGAATGCAGGTGAGCAGGCAGACTTCGATGCGTGGAGACAGGTTCAGGTAATGTCCGCCGCCGCCGCCGCCGCCGCCACCACCACCACCGCCACCACGTCGTTGGGACCTATGCCCCATTCCAAAGATATCGGATATATTCCAGCGGACATCGTGGGCCTCTGCGGCGACCGGCTGGACCCACGAGGACGGGTCTGAGCCTCCCTCTCCCCTCCGTCGCAGGATGACGAATTCGTTCGGCCAATGGCCCGTTCGACACGTGGAGTCCCGAGGACGGGAAGCTACGTCGCTTCCCCGTCGATGGAGCTTCAGAAGTTCGACGACTTCCTCGCCCACGTCGTACGGGAGGACCGTTCCCTCTGTCTCTCTATCGAGCAAGGGAGCATCGAACTACCGCCTCTCGAGATATCGACGTTAGCTGAGCGCACGGCTTATCTCGTCAACGAGAAAGGACGATTAGATCTCGGGGATTAAATTGCACCTACGCCGTATGATCCTTCGAAGAACGACAACGCGCGAAAAAAAAATGTTAACGTGTAGCGACGAGAGTGAAAACGGCGTGCGCAATCTGTTTTGCGTTCTTACTAGCGATAATTATTTATGCCTCTGCGTAAGGCTTCTATGTAATGTGCTTGAAACACCTTGTAACTTAAAGAAATTGTTTGTAGCAACGGGGAGTTATCGCGCCGAAAGTACTCAGGTGCCTGAGTACCAATCTATGCTGATATCGAACAGGTTTACAGAAGATAATATTCCATCCGAGGGAATACCGTTTAGTTTCCCAATTTAACGTCCCACGGGGAGGGGGTGGTTCCCCTTTCATCCAGGGATATATCATTGGGAGGAGAAATCCATCGCAGCCTCGGCTTTTCCTCTTCATTAGGCAGGAGATGTCAGTTCAGAAGCTCGCCCTTTCTCGCGTCGCTCAGGGAGGTTTCAGTTACCGTTCGGTAGCTCTAAACGCTATAATTACGTCGGTGCTCCTGGGAAGTCAGTCCCGCGGACTTCCCGTTCCGACTCTCGGACGCGCAGCTCGCTCTCTCTCTCTCTCTCTCCTTCCCTGTGGCTCTTAGAGCGGAGTCGATGTAATCCCCATGACGTGATTCAACATCGAAATATCGACGGACGTGTCGTACCCTAGGATATTAGCATCGCCTCCAGCACGGAATGTACAGCTACGCATTAGCATAGAGGACATCGTACGCCTCGAGCCGATCCTCCTTCGACGAAGTCGCGATCGTTGCCAAGTCCGCAGAACGCGAACGACGGGGGCTCTGAGTCACACTCGCGTCGCTTCGGAATATCCTCGGACCAAACGACTTCTTTTCGCGGGAGACAACAATAAAGAACCTGGAAAAAGTGTGGACAAGTCCTGAATCGACTCGACGTCTCGTTTCGCTTAAAATTAACGTCGCTTAAAATGTTCTCGCAAGCCGCAAGTTAGATTTGCTCGTCACGTGGCCGAGAGGAAACGATACAATTACGCGAGACGACAGGGGGATTTGAAATTTTCGCGATCTCATCGCCGCGGCCGCGATTGCGTCACGTTGCCCCTTTAAAAGCCGGACAGGTGGTTCACACGCGATCGCCGATTGCCCCCCGCTCCGGCCGGAGTTATTCGCGTGACCGTGTAAAACGGCCTTAATGGGAGTGTTTCCTGATCCCGGAACGAGTAACGAGACTCGTACGTACAGTAAAAGGGTTCGTGGGAAGACGAACGTCGAGGCTGGGCCTCGCTCGAGGGTACGTAGCACACACGCGAGCGCACTCGACATTCATCCACCCACACGCGCGCACACCCTCGAGCAGAGCCGACACGGTGTCGTGCCGCGTTCGGAGTGCCGTGCACCGGGGCTGTGTGCTATGCACCGGCACGGTACGACAGAAGGCAGCGTGGTAATAGATGTCAGGGCCAAATCTCCGATTTCCCCCACGGTCTCAATTAGACGGAACGATGAGCGATTAAGCGCGATTAACCGCGAGCAACCGCGAGCTTATCGCAGCCTTTCTCGCCGACAGCTAGACGACTCGTCTTCGCAACGGCGAAATCTCTCGCGGGCTCACCACGCGAGCGGCGCTCGAGTTGCGTTCGCAGAAATACGGCATGCCGTGTCTCTCGTCGCACGCAACACCGATATTAAAGTGATATCTATAATGGAAAGATAATTGCACTTGAATGAAAAGATTATTAGCCTTTATTCGCGTCCTCGCTACTTGGATTTCCCAAGGAAGCATTCGTGAGTATAAACGCTGTAATTATTATGTGTTGAGCTTCATTTCGTAATATGCGATAGTTCAAACACACGTGGACCCAGAGATATTGCTCCCCGAGGAAAGGGTTACGCTTTGCGCCGCCATCCCGGCGGGGTTCAAAGGGTTTAAAGCATTCATTAGGAGTATCCTGCCTAGCGGACGATATGTCGGGACGCCACGTGATATCCTTGAAAAGCGGAAAACCGCGCCGGATTCAACAGCGATCTCTTCTCGCGGAGTTCCTCGATCCGCAACGCGGCGGAGTTCTAGAAAGGACAGGAAAGGGCCGCCCCCTTGTACAACGATTTCCGCTCCCAGGTGCACGCTTATTAACGCCGACGAGATCGCCGCCATTCATTAATTTCCCTCGCCCGACTCGGTAGCCGTGGAACTCTCCACGGAGTCCTTCCCCCCCCTCTCTCTGTCTCTCTCTCCCTCGCTCGCTTGCCCTCTTCGGGGCCCGCAAGCCCCGGTAGTGGGCCCCGATGCGGCGCCGTGCTACGCTGAGGCTGCGGCAGAAAGAAAGGGTAGATCTTAAGGCGATTTTACACGACTCGCTTCGGCAGCAATCAACGCGAACGAGTGATCCAACAGGAGTGCGTTCGTCAGACAGAGTGAGACTCCTGGAATTTCGTTTCCCAATAATTAACAAGCGTGTTTCTTCAGATCGCCAGTATTAATATAATAATAAAATTAACCATCGAAAATGCCAATTGGTTTATCCGTTGGCAATTTTTCTCAGTGCGCAACTTCGAAAGCATTTAAGTCTCGATTGCGACATGTCTAAAGAATCGAGCGACAAACACGAAGAAACGGAGGGATCTCTGGCTCCGTTCCGTTCGGCCGCGGGGCACACGCTCATTAGAAATAATAATAATTGCCGCGAGACGTGGGTAATGAATGTTACCGCCGTCGCCGCGTGGTTCGACGCCGTTAACAGGGGAGTAACTTAACCGCGACGCGCGGACAACCGACAATTAGGTGTAGATCGAATATACTCCGCTCGTGGGACGCGCTGACAACGATGTCCTTTGCGACCTCGTCGCCAATCGCACCTCTCCCTATCCACTCGAGGCCTTTCGTCAAAACGCGCCAGCAATCAAACTGTTTAGGACTCAAGCCCGGCTGTAACATGCAATTCTTACTAATGCCCGTGTTTCTACTAATGCAGATTAACGTTAATCTCGGCTTAAATTACTTCTTGTCTCTTTCCAATTCGTAAAACTAGAAAAAGATACAAAGTACGTTGAACCGAGATTCAAGTTAAACTATCGTCGGTAGAAAAGGGTGCAAATCTTTATACAAGTCTGTCACGTTGTTGTATCACGGCAAGTACGAACCAGATAGAAATAAACAATTGGCTAAGCTACGATTAGGAAGTTCTAGTGGGAAAAAGACAGCAATAATTAATTCGGGTATTAATGTAATTATGGAATATCAAAGATTAAACGCGAAAACTCTACGCAGAGGAAAGTTCTCTATTACGCGATAGGTTTCTAATATGAGATAGGTTTTCAACACCCAAATTCAATCACAAATCTTTTTTCAACAATGATTTTTCCACTAACCAGATTTCACTCCAAGGGCAATAGATTCATGGTGGAATCAGCTGATGCCTATTAATTTAACAGAAACTTTCCTCTATTTTAAACATATTACTCGCGTTCTCACGCTGTAAGCTTAACTTAGAAGATTATTCGACACCGAGGCTTCAAACTGTTAGAAAGGTCGTATGCATAATTAAACTTTTCTTTAAGAGAATTCGAATCAAGATCGAGGATCGCATTGTTGCTTATTTTTCTTCTTGTCTGGCTTTCAAGCGACACTCGTTGTGACATTTCATTTTTAATCGAAACTTCTCCATTGAAAACGCCCTTGTGAACCTTCCATGGGGAAATACGTCGAGGTCTATAGGTATTATGGCAGACTGTTGTGAGTCAAGTTACCTGAATAATGTTAGAGATTACAAGAATACCAGACAACGAGTCAACATCTCGGGATCGCACGCACAATAGAGAGGAAGAATACTTTAACCGAGAGTGAAAAAAGTTCGAGTGGACGTTCGAACTTGGATGGAAACGATAATTATTCATTGTCGGCGGAGCAGGAAAAAGAGCGCGGAGAATAAATTGAAAAATATTTCACCTCTCGACCAATGCAGACGGAAATAATGCAATCATTAAGTAAGCACACGACGAGGCACACATTTCATCAAATCGGACAGACGCCAGGATAAAACGCGTATCTTCTTCTAACGGCTACGACATTAGCAAAGCGAGTAACAGTAGCGCAATCTTAATTGCATCTAATGGCGATTACATCGTTAATAGTAGCGCCGCGCGATAACAACGATAATAACAAACTCGGGAAGAAAGAGAGGAAGACCGGAGGAAAGACACAGGAGGAAATGTACAAACGCAGCCTTTAAAGAGCTGGAAGCGACCCCCCTTGAGCGTGAAGGGCGAGGGGGAGGAGGAGGGAACAGGTTCCCGGCATAGTTACCGCGTATTCACCGAGCTGAAAACCTTGGGCCTCATCTGGAGCGACGGAGAAGAAGAAGAAGAAGAAGAGGACAGAGAGAGAGAGAAAGAAAGAGAGAGAGAGAGAGAGAAAGGAAAGGAAGAAAAAGGGAGAGAGAGAAAGAGAAAGAAGGGGCAGGATATTTGCTCATCTCGCTCCAGCCGAGATGCTGCAGTCGCAGACACACGATAAAGGTCGAGAAAGCAAAGGTGGGTTCACACGATGCGTGCATCGCGCCGGGGGAGTCGCGCGGGGTCCATCGGCAGGATCGCGCGCGACCAGTGGGCCCTTGGTCCTTGAACTCGTTGCGACCGCTCGTCGCGAAAACGGTACCTTCTTATTGGCACGCCGCGCAGGCACGGGCTTCTACCAGGACCGCTGAAAGCCGGTCCCCGAAATTTCGTGGGAAAAGGAGGATTAGCACAAACGAGTTGGAGATACGCTCTCGCGAGGGAGAAAGAGAGAGAGAGAGAGAGAGCGGGAGGAAGGGGCGTAATGAGGTGCCTGGTGTATTCACGATGACTGGGTGATTTTATCATTTACATAGAGTACGACCGTACCATTACCGTAGATATATGACAAAAAAAGAAGTAACAAGTTGCAAATTTATTTCTATTTATGCTGATATGCATTTGCCCCCTCTTTTCGGCCGAAGGAAGCGGAGGAATGTTTCAGCGCGACGAGTTAATTCGCGTCCCGCTGAATTCCTCGAGGAGGGAAGGGAGCGCAGCGAGACGGATTATTTCGGAACGGCAGGAAACGGCTACCGCGCGAGCGGTAGCTGCATTTCCGCGATTTCCGCTGGCGCGCATTTCGTAATAGTCCCTCGCTAAGGCACGCAAATCCTCGGCGCGCGGCTTCAACGTTTTCGCATTTCCGACGCGACGGCCGCAAAGTCCGAAATACGCCCGCCGAAATTAACGTTCATTCATTCGTTCGTTCGGCCTTCGTTTGCGGAAATTCGCGTAACTTGGAAATTCATCATCGCGTTCTTGCGGAGAGCTGCGTAGGTATTTCGGCCACGAAAGACCCGACAGGTCCAGCATAGCGTTATGTATCCGCCATCTCCGATTCCTCCGCCTTGTGTCCTCGTACATTCTTGTTAACCCTCGTGTCCACGATCCCAGAACTGTGTCCAAGTTCTAGCTCCGAGAAATATGTAGCCAATCAACCTGCATCTTGTACGGAAAAGCTACACATTTCTCGGAGCTAGAACTTGGACACAATTCTTGGATCGTGGAAACAGGGCTTTACATATTGCTCGGCCCATAACCCGATGTTGGGTGCGATTTTTGCGTGAAAGGTAAAATGTCACGTGACTAGAACAGAAGAAACTAAAAGAGACATTTAGCAGTGCCGACAATAGTGACATGCGTCACGTAACCAAAAGAAAAACGCGGCAAAAACAAATGAGTATTTTCTTGAGTAAAGTAATATTTTTTTGGATTGAGATATTTTTTTTATCAGTGTAGATACCCTGTAATCAGAGAGACTGGCCGTAGGAGTTTGTCAAATTCCCGCGTGTGAGAGAGAAACGTCTACGATCGTAGAGGAGTGAGACGGGCCTGCGTTTATCTCTCACTCGGGGGAAATTCGACGGACTCACGTGGCCCGTCTCGGATCGCGGGGTCTCCGCGGCGTCGATTCCGGAAAATCGAAAAGGCGAAAAGAAAATGGCGCCAACGCGGAAATTCGAAGGCGCGCGATCTCGCAGGTGGAGGGGGTCTACGTTGTACGCACCTGGCGCTGCCCCTCTCTTCGCCCGCCCGAGCTCCCGGTCTGGGAGCAAGATGGCGGAGAGTAGTGGGGCCCCGCGCGAGCACTTCGCCGTTCGTGACTTCGCGTCAGTCGTTTTCCGGGCCCAGTCGGCGACGTCGTGCGTTGCGAGTCTCGCTCGTGGATCGTGTTCGCGTCGCGGGAGAAAGGAGTCGAAAAGGAAAGAGATCGAGCAAGAGAGAGAGAGAGAGACAGAGGGAGGGGAAGCGGGACGCGTTACTCAGGAGAGCGCCTCGCTTCGGCTTTTCGTCCCCCCCCCCTGCGCGTTACCAAACTTGAGTGCGCATTTTCGTGTCCCCGTCTTTTTTCGCGCCCGTTGAGGGGAAAAGCGAGGCGTCGATTTTCGAGGGTCGGTCGGTCGGTCGGCCGGTCGATCGATCGATCGATCGATTGCTCGCCCGCAGGGGAAAACTTCGATCTCGTCCGTCTCTTTCCCGCGAGAGCCGACGACCGGGCCGTTTCCCCTGACTCCTGTCCGCAGGCCCTAACGAAAATTCAGGGCGCCGGTTAGTTGCAGCACGGACGGCGAGCAGTTACGACAGCGGGGAGTACCGGCAACCACGAACGTTGACCATCGAGGGACGGCAAAGCGGAAGGTATTTGTCCGATTGGTGAAAAGACGGTGGGCCGCCAGGCGGGGAGGGGGTGCTTGTGCTCCGATCGCGCGAAAGACACGCCGGGATGACGCGGAGCAGATCCGCGTCGAGGATGTTCGGTCGATGAAACAATAACGCCGCGTTAACACGTAAACAGAGACACGCGAAAGAGACGCGGTCGAGGGACTCGGTGTCCCTCGATTGTTATTCGAGTCCCGGGGAGGCTGACTCGAGTAGTCCGTGCTCGAGGCAAGCTAACGAAGACGAACGAGCGCGGAGCGAGTGCTCATTTTCCTCGTATTCACCGAAACGAGTCCATTCGCGCTTGTTCCGATCCAGCGGCCGCGTATCCGCCACGCGAGGCTGCGGGGCCGAGGCGGCGTCGCTTCTCGATCGCCGTTCGACAGGCCTCGACGAGAGGGGCGGCTCGCCGCGCGAACCCCGACAGAGAGAGAGAGAGAGAGAAACGCGCGCGCGTCTTCCCCGGCAGCTGCGCGCGTTTAACCGACCTCGATTGGCAAAAGCCAGCCGACTCCGGTTGGCTGGGAAGACCGTTTCCAAGCCGATCCGATATCGGGCTCGAACGCGAGCCTCGAATGAGTAATCCCTCTTTCACCGCGTGCGCGCACGCACAACACACGCGCGCGATTCCTGTTACCTGCGTAACGAGGTGCACCTTCGTTACGAGGCACAAACTCTCGCGTTACGCTCGTTCCACCGACGCTGACTCGGCCACTTCTAATCGACGACGACGCGCGCTCCGCCGGGGATCGTCCGCTCGGCATTTCGACGTAATTGCACGCGCGTGCACGTCTTTAAGCCCGTATCAGACTACGGACTCCCGACTCTGACTCGACTACTGACTCGGGCTCCCGACTATCATTCAACCAATCACAGCAAAGCACCGGCCGACCCCGACTGCCAACTCGGGAATAGACGCCACTCTAATTGGTTGAATCATAGTCGGGAGTCCGAGCCAGTAGTCGAGTCAGAGTCGGGAGTCTGTAGTCTGAT